GCCTGTTTTTTTAAGGGAGATGAACATTACATTATAATTGCACATAATAATATCATAGATGATCCATTAAATAAATAGATTTTATATAACATCTATAAAACAATGCCTTTTTATGCCTAAATTTACTTTAAGATAAGATAAGATAAAACTTTATTAATCCCTCGGGTGGGTCCCTCTGGGAAATTCGGTTAAAGGTTAATGGAGCCCTTTCCTCTTTAAAATATCCGCAATCTCCTCAGAAAACCAATGTATCTGAGAACAATACAGTTTGTCTATAAAGAAGCTGAAACAAATGGCTTCATCATGCAACACACAGTGAGACTATCACATGGCAAAAATCATTTTAATTTATCATATACACTTGGTGGCTTCTTCATTAGGTACTATACACTTTGCTAGTTACATGTTTGACCCACTTTTGCCAACAGAACAGTTTTATTCCATTCTGATTCTGTCATGAACAGGTTGCGCAACCAACAGAATCAGAATGGAATAAAATTGTTATAGGTAAGACATTAACAAAACAGCACAGCTTTGTCTGCTAAATGGAAAAAAACAATAAAAAACTGGACTCAGAAATATAGGAACTAAACACACAGGAAGGCACGCAGAGGAAAAATACAGCCATGAAAGAGAATGTGACACAGGACAGAGGTAGACTCAGACCTAAATACACAAAAAGGTAACGCGGAAGGTGGAAACACACGGACAACACAGCTGACACAAATTAGACCTGAGACGGTAAGGAAAGCAAAACTGAAAACACAAACCCAGGACACGGACTGTCAAAGTAAAACAGGAAACATGGTGAGACACAGATTGTGACAACCAGACATGCAGACATGAAACACATGACCGACTGGGGAGAACACAAGAGGGACACATGAACAGGGGAATAAAACATAGACACTCCTAAGAGGGCAAGGGAGAGTGAGAGGAGAACAGAAAGAAGAGGGGAAGGGCTAGGGAACCCGAGAGAGCATGAGAGGGAGAGAGAGACCTGACATGCTGGGAAATATGGACACACAAGATAGGCAAGGGGAACATGGAATGTCACACATGGGAAACCAGACAAAAGAACTCACACAAACACCCGCAAACACAGACGCACAGGAAGGGACACAGAAGACAAAGAGACAAGGGGAGCATTCGTTTTTTTTTTCATATAAAGCAAACATCTGTCTTCAACAATAATACACTATATGCATATAAGGCAAACTTTTCCTTTTGCAGTATTTTTGTGTGGTGCATTTTTCTATGTTTTAAAAAAAGGGGAACAAAGGTATTTAACCCTTTATGGATGAATTATGACAACCTCAATCAGGATTTTTTTTCTTAAGAATTTTTATTCTTCTTTAGGCACAAAAAAAGATTTGAACTTCATTTTTTTAACCATGTACTTCTCAAAGAGTTATTTAGATGTCCACTTTGGTGGACAACATATGTTTTGACTTATGAATTGAATATGGAGTGACACATCAGTGTCCAATGTAGTTGTTTATGTGCAAATATACCATCAACATTAACACAAATACAAGAAAACAGCCTGTGAATAGCTGTCTGCTGTAGTGACCACTGTGCGTGAAAGGGTTAATGACCTTATAGTACCATATCACCCCATTAGCTAACTCTCCCTCTCTCTCCTTTACCCCATATCATGTCTGCTGCTAATGTACAAAGTCATTTACTGGGCATTAATGTTGGCACTAAATTACCAAACTGTAAATACTGTTATATTATCTTATACTGTTTGCACTCAAACTATCATATTGTAAATACTATTATATTTTTTTTGTTATTTACTGTGCTAAGTGCCTTCCTTTTACATTATATCTTATACTTTTACTACAGTTATTTATTACTATGCTGCTTCTTGTTTTATTGCTGCTGGCCTCTGTGAGCTACCAAACAAATTTCGTTGTATAACTACATTGACAATAAAGTTCTTCTTTATCTTATCTTTATCTTCGCGCTCGCCCTGCAGGCCTACTTGTTGTTCCCAGAGAATTTAAAAGTAGAATGGGAGGGAGAGCCTTCAATTTTCAGGCTCATCTTCTGTGAAACCAGCTTCCAGTTTAGATTTGAGAGACAGACACTATGTCTACTTTTAAGATTAGGCTTAAAACTTTCCTTTTTGCTAAAGCATATAGTTAGGGCTGGACCAGGTGACCCTGAATCCTCCCTTAGTTATGCTGCAATAGGTGGAGGCTGCTGGGGGATTCCCATGATGCATTGAGTTTTTCTTCTTCAGTCACCTTTCGCACTCACTATTTGCGTTTTTTGTTTTTTTATTTTGTTTTGTTTTTCTTCAGCCTTTCCCATTTGGTTCTTTTGCCATCAGAATTATTGTCTAAAGGCAAAGAAAGATGCCCAATGGATTTACTTCACCAAATGGACCATCCCAGCCTTGCCGTATTGGTCCATTTGATTGACCTTTGTTTTTATTGTTTATTTTATTTTATTTTCACTTGCTACACGGGACAGGCATGAACGGTGATGAAGGGCAAAACAAAAACCAACAAAACAAACAGACAAAAAATACATATATCAATCACCTGGATCACCTGTTGAGAAAGAAAAAAGAGAAAACAAGCAAAAAAAGAGAGCAATGTAATAAACTACATCATCGTGATGATCTATGTGAATATAACAGTAAATACTAAATATTGAATATTATTGTGCAGCATGTAGGATCGACAGCGCACAGTGTGCTTTAAGGTAGGAGCCAAAAAGGGTGTAGTTTGTGTGTGTGAGCACGCATGTGTACACCTGTGAGCATGGACGCGCTTGTATTTAAAAGGTTGCTTCATGTAATGATCTGCTAGAGGGTGTGGGGGGCCAGAGCCCCGTCCTCCAGGGCATGAAGCAGGTATGGAAGAGATCAAGACTCCAGACTTCCAGAGGCCCCCAGAACACAAGAGACCAAGGAAGACCAACAGAGGGGCAACTCACTATTTGTTAATAGACCTCTCTGAATTGAATCATCTCTCGTCCACAGCATGTCTTTTAATACTGTCTCCCATCTCTCGCCCTAAACTGGTCGCAGCAGATGGCCGCCCCTTTCCTGAGCCTGGTTCTGCTGGAGGTTTCTTCCTGTTAAAAGCGAGTTTTTCCTTCCCACTGTCGCCAAAGTGCTTGCTCATAGGGGGTTATATGATTGTTGGAGTTCACATTGTATGCATTATTGTAGGGTCTACCTTACAATATAAAGCGTTTTGAGGCGACTGTTGTTGCGGTTTGGCGCTGTATAAAAAAATTATTCAAATTGTGTCTTAAATGCTGCCAGTGCCTCTCTTTGCTTTAACCAACCTTTCTCTTTATTTCTGAGCTTTTTAGGGTCTTTAACTGATGCATCAACCTTTTAAAATGGAAAGAAATCAGATTCATGGCAGCATCAAAGTGTCACATGTAGTTCTCCCACATCAGCTGGATTATATCTATAGCAGCAAACAGCAGCTGATCCACAAATCTTTGTCTGTGTTAATAAAGTTGGATCAGTTCAAATAGTTTGTTGCTCTGCATTCAGCCTGTTAGAGTCAACACAAATGTCTCTATCCAAGCTCATGTTGTGCTTTGTTGTCCTTTAAGTCCCCCAGGTGGAGGTGGAATCAGGGGTGGAGTCTGTCCAGCTGCCCTTCAACACCACACTTCACCTGCCTGAAGATGCTAAGGTGGAGTGGAAGGACAAAGGCAGCAGGATGATCTATGTTCATCAGAACAGCTCTGAGCAGCCTGAAGAACAGCACCAGGCTTACCAAAACCGAACGAAGATGAATGAAGACTTGCTTAAAACTGGAGACCTCAGTCTGACCCTGAAATACCCCACAGATGGAGACAACAGGACCTACACCTGCACGGTCTACAGCAGGGAGGGAAACATCCTGCTGAAGAGACAAGTGCAGCTGAAAGTCAGAGGTTAGTGCTGTAGATACAGGTCAAAGGTCATGTAGTGTGATTGAGAGTGAATCAGTGTGAGTGATGGAGGCAGCAGGAAACTAACAGGCTGACTATCTCAGTGAAAGACCATCTCTGAATTGAGGACGGGGGCTAAGGGTACATTTTTTGCCATCTTACAATGCTGTGATTGCAGCCATTCACCAACTTTCTGCAAATGGTACTCATTGCCATTGATCAGTGGTCTTTGATCAATGGTCATGAGAATTTGAATATTAATGAACAATGAACTGACCTCCCAGCCCATTGTTCCTTCAGTGGGCTGGTTTCAGTTATTATGCAAATGTCCTGTTTATAAGGTTGGGAAAACCTGCAGTCAGCTGAGACTGAAGACGTCACTTGGATGAGTGATGAAATGTTTCTCCCACCAAAAATGCTACATCCAGATAAACAGAATCAATTGGTCTTTTTCTAGGAAAACTCCCTGAAATATAAATCTCATTGAAAGAAGTTCAGTGTTTCACAATAAAAGCCTCTTTAAAGCATTGATTCTACTCTGCTGTGGACACAGACAGCTAGAGACCCACGGCTGAGGAGTCCTTCCTGTTAGACCAGGGGTGGGCAACTCTCGAGGGCTGGTGTCCCTGCAGGTTTTAGATGTGCCCTTGAACCAACACAGCTGATTTAAATGGCTAAATTAGCTCCTGCAGTTCTCCACAGGCCTGGTAACAAACTAATCATGTGATTCAGGTGTGTTGACCTAAGGTAAGATCTAAAACCTGCAGGACACCAGCCCTCAGGGCCTGGAATTGCCCACCCCTGTGTTAGACCTCTTTGAAATCCGCTTGAAATCTGCCCGGTAACAAAAAAGGAAACAAAATCACTGCCGCACAGCCCCTCACACTGATGATATTTGATGATATTTATGTCAGTGTGACCACGCAGACCCTTAGAAATCAAGTGTTTGTGTCCACTGACATGTTAGAGTGCTTTTATTTTGAAATGCACACAGGAAATGATGTGTTTCCATAAAAAGTGTAGTGCGGTAAGTTTAAAAGAGAAGGACCAAAACAGACTGATGGATAATTGTGACATTACTGTTTGATTCTTCTTTCAAATAGAAGAAGAAAAGGGATGGGGAGGAGGTGGGTTGCATAAAAGAGTCTGCAAAGGAGAACGAAAGATGAGCTGTGAGATTTATGTCACACAGAGGAGGCTGATTGGCCTGAAGAGTGTGGACAGTGAGATGATTGGACTAGAATAATGATGGCAGTTTTGAGTTTGATGGTATGGGAAAGTGGAAGTTAAGTAACAAGCAGCCAAACTCCTGGAAAGCAGACAGTGAATACAGATGTTCCTTGTTCCTTGTTGAACTTACACATGAGTTTCATTTCATGATCTGCAGAGTCAGTATGAAGTTTATTCTGTTTAGCGTCCAAAGAAAGAAAGGAGCTTCCTGTAGATCCTTGTACATGTGATGTCTGTAAGATGTCTCCTCTCTCTTTGTCTGAACGAATGTTCTTGAGCAGCTCAGCTCTGTGCTAATAACTGCTTTATTCCACATCTGTATTCATAAAAGTGAATAACAGTGGATCATCTCTCATCTAATCAGCATTTCTAATGTTGTGTTTGTTGTCCTGTCAGTCTGTCGGGTGGAGGTGGATTCAGGGGTGGAGTGTGTCCAGCTGCCCTTCAAATCCACAGAAAACCTGCCTGAAGACGCTAAAGTGGAGTGGAAGGATGGGAGATCCAGAACAGTCCATGTGTATAAGAAAGGCTCTGACCAGCCTGAAGAACAGCACCAGGTTTACAGAGACCGAACAAAGATGAACAAAGACCTGCTGAGAACTGGAGACCTCAGTCTGACCCTGAAACACCCCACAGACTGGGACAGCGAAGATTTCATATGTGAAGTTTGGAGGAGTGGAAACATCCTTAGAACAAAATCACTGCTGCTCAAAGTCAGAGGTTTGGTCCTTTGTTTGTCTTGTTTTCCTGGCTGCCACTGAGGACAGACTTTCTGGACTCTGACTCACACATCATTTCTTCTTCTCATGCTTCATCCTCAGCTCACATGATTGCAGACATGAGCATGAAAAGCTCTGACAGGAAACTATGTCCGGGCTTTTCATGCTCATGTCTGTGTCCATAAATATCTAAATAGCCTCTGTTCCTAATCACCAAGGTGATTTCAGTTGCTGTTGAGAAGGATTCAGCCCACTTGTGTTTGTGGACACATGCAGACTTAACGAAAAGAAAAAACTACCAAGACCCCCTTTTTCAAAAATAAAAGTCAGATGTCCTTACATCATTTTCACAATGAGGTTATGTAAAACATGCTTCAGCACACAGGCCTTCATCAAGGAATAAAAGTCAATGAGCCCACTTCATCTTTTTAGTGTTATTACACCAATAGCAAGCTTCCACCTAAGAGTGAGTGGAGTATTCCACCAGTGAAGCTCCACCAACAGTAGAAGTCTTCAAAGCCTGGGCAGGTAAATGAGCCTATCTAACACTATTAAGGTTATCGTTAAGGTTAGGATTAAAGTTAGGGTTAGGGCTGTAATAGATGGCTGGAACGTGTGTTACCACCAGGAGCCTCAGTCGACTGGATTTCATTCACAATCCGGCATGTATCATAGGGATGCAGAAGGTTACTTTTACGTTATTATGAGATGAATCAGGACATGACAAATTGTCAGTATATTACGCGTCCTGAATGAGAATGGTCTCGGATGACATAGAGACATAAGAAAAATCAAATGAAAAATAAAAGTAAATTCTAAGTCCTCTTTTAATCTGGGATGTTTAGGTTGGCAGAACACAAATATGCCAACACAGGAAACATTGATGGATTAAACTAGCTGGAATTTCATAATAGTAACCATCTGCAATACAAGCCTTTTTGAACTGGACCTGAACTGAACCTTCTTTCAATACAAGGAGCTTTGAACTTCTGGGATTTTAATGATACTATAGTTCAAAACTTTGCTCCTGTTTGCACCTTTTTTGATGATTTATGATCACCTAACTCCTCCTAGCAGCTCAAAGAAGACATTTTTCAAACTGTTCTTAGAGCTCCGTTTCTTTTTTTTTTAATCAGTACGCTGTTAGGAAAGCAAAAAGTATTTATCAGACATTGTCAAGTGTTCTCTGTCTGTGAGGTGCCCACACTTGAAAAAGACCAGACTTTGAATTTCACTCAATTTATTTTGACCAGCTAGTTTGATAGCTGATAGGTAGATGGATAGGTAGGTAGATGGATAGGTAGGTAGACGGATAGGTAGGTAGATAGATAGATAGATGAAAAACCGATAGCCCGTCTAGCTCAAAGTCTTCCTCACAGTGGAAAGTGGATTGTGCTTTGTTTGCTGTCCTCTCAGTATGTCGCACTCGGGTCAAATGACTGCTGCATGCATTTTAAGGTCTACTAGGCATGCCAGCCCTTGATTGCTCTAATTCAGCTCACCTGGCGGAGCGGCGCGCACCAGGCCGCGCTTAGTTGTAGATTGCACACAAGGTCTAATCAGCGGCCACGCGCAAGCAGCAGCACAGAGCAGGTAGTGGGCAGGAGGAGGAAAATAAGAATAACAGCCACACCTACTAGGTCAGCGCGACACCTCCCACTCGATCTTTGCTCAGCACTGCCTGGAAAGATCGCACTCAGGTGGGCTGGTCCCTGGCTTGATCTTCCACCGGTAAAAGGACCACAAGACGCCAGATGTCCCGATGTAAAATGGTGCTCAGCTCAGGACTTCTGGTAGCAGATTTTGGACCCTTGACTGCAATGCTGGAACTTGGAGAGACCCTCACATGCACATCTCAAACGATCCCTCTGGAATCAGGATTCACGCTGATGACTTTTGCAAGTCTGAACTGCCCTCTAAGGGCATTTTGGTCACAGAGCCAAACTATGTCTCCAACAGCAATGTTTCTCTCTGCAGTATGCCACTTACTGCGGATGAACAGGTTCGGTCCAGCGAGTTGGCTCCAGGACCTCCAGAAGTTGTTGACCATGGTTTGTACTTCTTTCAGCCTTTTGAAAGGATAATTTGCAAAGTTGATAGTTTTGAAGTCCCCACTTTGTGTGGCTTGACCAAGCAACAGATTATTCGGCATGATGTAGTCAATGTGATCTTCTCGGCTCTGAATTCTGGCATCAATGGGTCTCTCATTTGCAAGGTTGGCAGCTAGCTGGAGTGCTGTCAGAAACTTACTGAAGGTAAGAGCCTCTGCATTGCCAAGAGTATGAAGGGCTCTCTTGGTAACTCTGACAGCAGCTTCGGCCGCCCCATTTCGGTGAGGTGAGTCAGCGGGAAGAATCTTCCATGCCAAGGTGGTCTCATTTTTGGCAGAGTATTCTTCAAGCGACTCCTTGTTTTGTTGTCTCAGGTAAGCATACATTTCTTGTAATACAGGTTTGCCGCCGACAAAGTTTGTGCCAGGATCTGACCAGATTTTTCGGGGATGGCCTCGGACAGAAGTGAACCTCTGGTAGGCAAGCAGGAAGCTCTCTGTTGATAGTGTGCTCGCTACTTTGACATGTATGGCTCGGTTTGCCATACAGCAAAACACAACTCCCCAAACTTTCATGGTCACTCTTCTCTTGACATCATCCCTCACATGATAGGGTCCAAACAGGTCGACAGATGTGAATTTGAATGGTGCAGCAGGATTTGACCTTTCTTCAGGTAAGTCTCCCATTACTTGCTTACAGGTTCTTGCCTTTGCCTTCTTGCAGATGGTGCACTGGTCAACGACCTTTTGGACAATAATTCTTCCTCTGACAACCCAAGCCTTCATTCTCATCCGCAGTAAGGTTCCTGCCACTCCGTCATGTCCCTCGCTGTGTGCTTCTCTGGCAAGGAGGGTGGATAACCAGGCTTGGAATGGTGGAAGGGGAACGGCTTTGCTGTCTTTTTTGAAGGTCTGGATTCTGCCACCACAAACTAGAAGTCCACTTGTTTGGTCTCTGTAAATGACTAGTCTGTCTGTTGTGGTGCTTGGGAAGTTGACGCCCGCTTGTGCTGCTAGGCAAAGGTCTCGAAAAGCATCTTGTCTCTCACTGAAAGTGAGGACACCTGAAGATGGTACTACCTCCCACTTTTCTTGGTCTCTGGTCTTGGATCTCATGAACTTTTTGGCAACCCTCCAGACTGTGGAGTGGAGGGTAAGGACTGCAACAAAAGTCTTTTTCTGTAGCTTTGTGACCTTTTCTCGAGCTTGGGGAGCGACTTCTCCTGTGGATTTCTTCAGCCACTCATCTTCAGGAAGTTGGAGAAACTTTGGACCCGACTGCCACTCGGAGTCCTCAGTTAGGGCATTTAGACTGGAATCTGGAAACCGTAGCTCTCGCGCTGGATTGCACCCAAGACGGTCTGGCTGTCGACGAGGTGGTACCATTTTTTGACCTGGATTCTGCAGTGTCTCTGGAAGTAGGTCTTCAGACGGGCAGCAAAGACGACGCCACACATCTCTGCTTTAACAGGATCGCCTTTGTGGTTGAGAGGCGTCAGTTTGGCTTTGGACTCTACTAGTCTCACGATGACACTATGGCTGCAGCTCCAGCGAAGGTACATCACTGCGCCATATGCATGTTCACTGCCATCAGAGAACGTGATGGCACTGGGCTCTGCACATGGATCTGGTGGAGTCAGGGCTCTAGTGAAATGCAGTTTCTTCAGGTCAGCATACTTTTCCAGAAGCTTTATGGCATCTTCTCGGAGACCTTCAGACAAGGCTGCGTCCCATGTGTCTTCGAGACAGTGCTTTACTTTTGCTTCTTGGAAAGCTCTCCTTACCAGGATGGCACCCTGTTGTTTGACGGGAGTCACAAGACCGAGTGGGTCATATAGGCCGGAGACTTGGCTTAGCAGTTCTCGCCTGGTGAGTGGATCAGGTGTTTGCTCTCTGACTTCTTCTCTGAGCAAGTCTTGACCAAGGCGCATTTTCCTCCTTTTCTTTGAGAAGTTCACTGCAACCATGACATGAAGCTTGTCATCATTGATGGTGTAGCCAAGGCCAAGGGCTTTGTTGTCATCTTCCGTCAGCTGATTCGGCAGGATCATAGTCTTTGGCTCTGATCGAGGCAACTCTGTCTTTGACTCCTCCCTCCCACTTTGACTGGAGTAGACCCAAGGCTTCATGTAGAATCCTCCAGCTCTCAGAATGTGCTCGATGTTGGCTGTTAGGTGTCTCAGATGGTGGAGGTCATTGTGTGATGTCAGGATGTCATCGACATAAGCATCTTCTTCCAGCACACGTTTCTCTTCTTTGAAGTGACTGAATGAAGGTAGGTTTGCAGTTTCTCTCATGGCGACTTGGGCTACGCAACCAACAGGTTTATCTCCAATGCTGACTCTTGTTATGGCATAGTCTTCTATGCCTGCATCTTCTGTGTCACGCCACAAGAATCTGTGCAAGTGGACCTCTCGATCTTCCAGCCAGACGGAGTTGTACATCTTGCGGATGTCACCAAGGGCGGCGTAGACACCAGCTCGGAACCTCAGCAGGACAACTCTTATTGGGTTCAGGACATCAGGACCTTGGATGAGGATGTCATTCAGGCTGAGGCCTCTGTACTTCTGGCTGCTGTTCCACACCAACCTCACTGGGGTAGAGACCGAGTGTGGATTTGGCACAATGAGGTGGCTTATATACCATACTGGCCCAGTCCAACTCTGCAGGACTTCTTTGGACAGCTTCACTGCAGCTCTGCGGTTTACCATCTCATGAACTTGTGCAGCATAGGCCGTCTTCCATTCAGGTTCTTTAGATAGCTTCATCTCGGTTCTGATGAATGTTGCTTCTACCGCTTTCCTGTTATTTGGCAAGGTTGCTGGATCTTCTACCCATGGGTATTTGGCATGCCAATGTGGTTCACTGCTGTGGTCATCGCCAGTTGAATAAGTCAGGCCATTCCTCACGATCTCCATCTCCCTCTCTTCTGCAAGTGTCATTTCTTTACCCCCTGGCTGGCAGTTCCCACAATAACACCCTTCACATCTCG